TATACAGGGTGTCTCATAATTAGCTGCCAACCCTGAACAGGCCGATTCTATGATCAAAACTAAGTAAAAAAGTTCATATGAACATGGGTCCGGAAATGCTTCCTAAGGGCACAGGGACCCATTGAAGTGGGAGGAATGGAAATCATTGTTTTTTGCAATATCTCTCAATCGCGTTGTGATAAATGAATGAAATTTGGTATACACAGCTAAATTTTGATGAACAATTTGATGGACTAATCCATTTATTTCCACAAGGTCCATTGGGGTGGGTACGAGGGTGCCCTTGGTACTTTGCGTGTGTAACTTTTTCATCTTTCATTAAACGAAATTCTGTGAGTGTTGGATAAAATTTTGTATGGCACTCGTGTGTTACATATGGATATCCGGATTCATTGCGCATAACTTTTGTCATTTACATTTTGTTCTATCTCTCGACAGAAAGGGTGGGGAACGCCCCTAATGTCTGATCAGAAAAATGCATATTTTTTAAGAATTGGCTGATCAAAAGCCCATAGTGTTATACCTCGTTGGAGTGGTCTTTTCATGCTTTATCTCGAGGTGAATGCGTAGTATCATTTACCTTAATATGGAAACCTATACATGAGATTATTTCAAAAGAATGCCGTTTTATGGCTTTTCTCAAAAATTGCAAAACAAAAAATTTATGAATACAGCATAATTTCTAACGAAACTGTTTAAATGGTATAGCCTATTTAGTTATTTATTAGCGCTATTTATCCAACTTTTTATAGATTTTAGATAGATTTTAGAACTTTATTTGAGGCTGTGCAACATTTTGAAAATTCGAAAACTTTCAAAAAATTATTTTTCGAAAACTATCGAACCGATTTTAATGAAATTTGGTGTGTTGTTTTATTATACTCTAAAGTTTTTTTTACGGAAATTAGAATGCCCTCGGAGTAATTAAAATATTTAAAAAAAAATATCCAAAAAACTTGATTATTTTGCCTTTTTTCATAGATTATTGCTATTTTGCAACATCAGTAATAAATTTAAACGTTTTTAACATACAGTATATTGTGCAAAATTCAATTCTAAAATTTTTTTTCGTCTTCAATATTCTTCCAAAATGCATAGGTAAAAATTTTAAACATATTTGCAATTTTGAAAATGTTGTGCACCTCGCCCAGATCTAGGGATCTACACTTTTATTACGTGAGTTGTACTGAAGGTATTTCAGTAAAAATTAGCTTGCTCCTTCTTACATTCAAGAAGTGGGATATTTCGACAGATCTGCCCTGGTCTAAGTAGTTAAAGTCACCTGCCCTTGTCACCCCTACTACGGAATATCTTCTTGATCTGTACATCTCGCAGGCAAGACGAATTTCCTCAAGCTGTAGTTTTTATGTAAAAGTTAAACCTCAATTTTTAGTAATGGTTAAACATGTTTGCTTCAATTTAAAAACTATTTACTATCCTCTGTCTTTTGCAGGCATTGACGACCACCGTTTAGCGAGACCGTATTCACACAAACCAACGATAAAGTTCGGCACCATACCCTGGTCGCACACAGACTCCACACTGGCGAAATACTTTAAAGAGATGCACGCTTACATGAAGCAATTCAACAAATCAACGGTGCTCCAGGGAGTGGCTGACGTACTGAGCGGCGAAATGGATGCCTTCATATACGACGGAACCGTGTTGGATTACTTGACGTCCCAGGACGAGGACTGCAGATTGCTTACAGTCGGGTCGTGGTACGCTATGACGGGATACGGATTAGCCTTCCCCCGGAACTCCAAATACTTGAAGATGTTCAACAAAAGACTGCTCGACTTCCGAGAAAACGGGGACCTGGAGCGCCTGCGCCGCTACTGGATGACCGGCGTCTGCAAGCCGGGGAAGCAGGAACACAAAAGTTCCGATCCCTTAGCTTTAGAACAATTTTTATCTGCGTTTCTGTTATTGATGGCGGGCATACTGCTCGCGGCGCTTCTCTTGCTTTTAGAACATTTATATTTTAAGTACGTACGAAAACATTTAGCGAAAACGGATAGGGGCGGCTGCTGCGCCCTGATCAGTCTCTCCATGGGGAAAAGCCTGACGTTCCGGGGGGCGGTATACGAAGCTCAGGACATCCTCAAGAATCACCGTTGTAGGGATCCAATTTGCGACACTCATTTGTGGAAAGTAAAACGTGAACTGGATGTAGCTCAAATGAGAATAAAGCAATTAGAGAAGGAGATGGAAGTGCACGGGATAAAGCCCCCGCCTCCCTGCAAACGGTGAGTTTTTTTTTAGTACTCTCGCACTTCGCCACATTTCATTATCATTCTATCAAGTTCGCTCGCACGCAGCATGATATTTTGTCGCATAAAATACTTGTCGTAGTACTTGTTGTCACTAACGCTCAGGATGGAATTAAAAAAAGTAATGAAAAAGTAATATTATAATAATTTTCTAATTTATTTATTTTATTCTACTAATAGTCCAGACGGTATCTGTTTCAAAAAGCCATATTTGGGTGAATCGTATGACCACGGAGATTTTTGGCTTTTTGGCTTTCAAATATCACTAGAAATGAAAATTTTTCTGTGCGCATAAAATAAACGTGGGCTTAACTTTTGGCGGCACAATATGTTAAAAAAATTCGAAAATTGTCATATTTTTCTTCCTATTTAATTATGTATCTTTTCAAAAGTTGATTTTAGGCGAAAATGGAAGAGGAAAAAAATTTTTGTAATTAAATTTTTTACAAAATATGACTAGTTACAAATCGAATGAATCATGATTATTATGGTAAAAATCGAAAAAATTGCAAAAATGGGGTTAAAAAACAATACTTTTTAGGGAATTTTTTTGAGGTATTTAAATTGGGTATATGACCTTTATACTCGGCTCAAAACAACTTCATGTTATGTAGAATTGTCACACCAAATTTCATCAGAATCGGTTCTATAGATTTTGCAATCCAGATATTGAAAAAAAATTTGCAAATTTTCAAAATTTTGCACAGCAAAAACCAAGGCCCTTAGATACTTGAAAATTTAATCACATATAGAAGGGCTCTCAAGCTTTCAAACTTTTTTTGAAACATTCGAATCCGTCAATTAGGAGAGCTCTGGCGCTTGTTTAAACATTGGTCGAATTTTTGTACTTATAAACAATTAGAATAACATTGTGAATATTCAATCAAATCAAATTTTTTAAAGCAGGTTTTAAAAGTTCTTGGAAAGAGACTTCTTTAAAAAAAAACAGATCGATTGGTCAATTAGTTACGTAGTTATAGCCGATCAAAGTTAACCGTCATGTACTGGGACATCCGGGCTAATTCCGAGTACTTACCAGGTCTAAGATTACAATACTTTTCTTCATTGGCAACCTACTTTAAAACGTGTTTAAAGTTATATATGCAAGCGAGAAATTCAAGAAAATTGATAAACAGTATATAAGTTTATGCACTTACCTTTGATACAATAGAAAAATAAAGTTGATAAGTAAAGGAGGTTTAAGGATAAATAATTCACTAGTTTACAATGTTTTTATACCCCAGCTGAAAGTTGTTGAATTTTATCTATCCATCTAAAGGTAGTCTAGGAAAAATATTTAAAAAATTCCATCACGTCCACATTCAGAATTATTTATTAAAGAAAAAAATAAGAAAATGGATTAAAACGATAAGAAATAACCTAAAAATGACTAATTTTGGACTTTTTTTATAGGTTTCAGAATCGGTTTCTCTTAAAATAGACCAGCAGTATTCTCCCAACATATTTTCGTCCCAATATCCTTGATGACGATCTTCAAAAGCCTTTAAATCCTGGTGAAAACGCTCTCCTTGCTCGTCGCTCATACTTCCTAAGTTTTCCGGAAAAAAACCCAAGTGGGAATGCAGGAAATGGATCTTTAATGACATGTTAACACCAATCTTATGATAATTTTGTAATAAGTCAGCCACTATGTCTTTATAGTTTTCACTTTTATTATTTCCTAAAAAGTCCTTAATAACAGTTTTGAATGAATTCCAAGCAGCTCTTTCATTCGTAGATAAAAGGGTATCAAACTTAGAATCACATGATTTTGCGTGTTTGTGGGCCGTCAAATACCCCCTCTTTAAGTTTGGCTTCGGTGATATATGCTTGGTTGATCAAATGTGGGGTTTTTTCTTCAAGGAAAAAATCCGCTTTTCTTTTTTGTAAATATAAATTGTCCACAAACATAACAAAAGCGATCACAACTTTGTTTATACTTTCTACTCGATATTGTAATTGAGTTAAACAATAAATATCTCTTAAACTAAACAAGTAATGCAGCACCAAATTAAGTATGATTCTGTAAAAAAAATATTTGAGGGTAGAAAAAAAATGTAACGTGACAGAATTTTTATGTTGATACTTTTAGAACTTATAAAGATGGCGGGAAGTACTGGTATAGGTTTTGTGAGGGGCATATAAAAAAAATAAAAATTTGTAAACTAGTTATTATCGGACTGTTGAAAGAGCAATAATATAAACGAAAGGCATTTCAAAATATGCTAAAATTAAAAAAAATCATCAAAATCGGACCTCTAGACGGCGAGATATTAAAAAATTTTAAGCGCATCGCGGGAAACTAGCCGATTCAATTTCGAGCAGACCGAAGCGGCCGCGCTCTCTGCTTCCGCCATATGCCACCACCACCACCACCCGTACGATTTTCTTGAATTTCTGGCTTGCATAAATAACTTTAAACACGTTTTAACGTAGGTTGCCAATGAAGAAAAGTATTGTAATCTTAGACCTGGTAAGTACTCGGAATACCAAAGGTATTTTTCGAAAAATTAGCCCGGATGTCCCAGTACATTTAGTGTTAATAACGGTTAACTTTGATCGGCTATAACTACGTAACTAATTGACCAATCGATCTGGTTTTTTTAAAGAAGTCTCTTTCCAAGAACTTTTAAAACCTGCTTTAAAAAATTTGATTTGATTGAATATTCACAGTTATTCTAATTGTGTAAAATTCGACCAATGTCGAAGCCTAATTGACGGATTCGAATTTTTCAAAAAATTTTGAAAGCTTGAGAGCCCTTCTATGTGATTAAATTTTCAAGTATCTAAGGGCCTTGGTTTTTGCTATGCAATATTTTGAAAATTTGCAATTTTCATTTATGGAACCGCTTTTGATGAAATTTAGTGCGATGATTCTACATAACATGAAGTTTTCTTGAGCCAAGTATAAAGATCCTATACCCAATTTAAATGCCCCAAAAAAAATCCATAAAAAGTATTGCTTTTTAACCCCATTTTTGCGATTTTTTCGATTTTTACCATAATAATCATGATCCATTCGATTTGTAACTAGTTCTGTTTTGTAAAAAAATTAATTACAAACATTTTTTTCCTCTTCCACATTCGCCTAAAATCAACTCTTGAAAAGATACATAATGAAATAGGAAGAAAAATATGACATTTTTCGAATTTTTTTAACATATTGTACCGCCAAAAGTTAAGCCCACGTTTTTTTTTATGCGCATAGAAAAATTTTCATTTCTAGTAATATTTGAAAGCCAAAAAGCCAAAAATCTCTGTGGATATAACGATTCACCCAAATATGGCTATTTGAAACAGATATCGTCTGGACTACTCTGCTAAGTTAAAATCTAAAGAAATTTACGAATATTTTTGGAAAGACAGAAAATGCAGGACAAACCAACTCAAAATAGGTTTTCTTGCGTATTATCATTATTAGCAGATTGTGGGGCAGACATTACCAATTCGAAGCGTTCTAAAGTAGCTGGAGGATATATTGAAGATTCTTTTCATAAGATAATCAAGATTGGGAGAAAATTTTGAACGACAGCATTGCTGCTACTTGTTTTATGCTTACTACTGACGCTGTGTCTACTACAGTTTGTTTTACGGTTACGGTAGCAAATATTAATAGAATGATTCCCGCAAAGAAAATAAGTGCCCTTGTGTTAGTTTTAGTAATGGAATCCAATTTCACCATACAACTTTTCATTTCAATATAAATACTAATAAATAGTTAATTGTTTAATGTTGTTATCTTTATTTCAGTCATAATAATTTTGTTTCCCTAATGACTAAAAAAATTTCTTTTGATTTTATTCGCTAAGAACCTGTAGAACATTTATAGAACGGCAACTGTTTGACAAACACGTTAAAGAGACACTGAGCATTTTAATCACTGCACACAAATTAATATAAACTTCTCTAATTCTGTAATTTTCTAAGAATTTCGCCATTTCTACAACAAAAATTTCGCAGTTACTAAAACATACAACTACAAGAGACGCACCAGGGGAGTTTTCATAACGATATGAGTAAACAATGTTTGGCCTGTAAAAATCTAATTGGAAACTTGCCTAATAGTTTAGATTAGGGATAGCCATTCTGAGGAGAGGATATATTCCATCCATTCCATAAGCCGCAGTAAAATAATCTTAAATACATTCGACACTGCCTATATATGTTATGTAGGATACAATACAGATAGAAGCATGTAATTTTGATCTTGCTGGTGTGGTATTAAGTAGTTTAATCCAACTTCAGATCGAAATGAAGAAGGATTTTTAATAATTCCAAGTGCTTTGATTTTATACTCTTATATTCTTTGATCGGATGAGATTCTAGCAAATTATTGTAATGTTTTGCTAATGAAAGTAGTGATCACTGTTTACGACGATGCAAGATTCCTAGCTGGAAGAGGAAGAGGGAACAAAGACCTATTCTGTATAAGAAGTCGCATGTTTTGAATTTAGGTAAGGAATTTCGAGGTTTTCGAAAAGCTGTCGAATATAACAAAAGACATGCGACGCATCACCAGCGAAAATGTGGGAAAGTAATAACTATTAAAACGCTCTTCCATTAACAGTTAAGAATTTGTTTTATTGCCAATTATTTATTGGAAAAAAAACCCTCTGAGATTCATTAAAACTCTACAGTGTTGATTCGCAGCTGCTCCCAGTCGAGTATAAAAAAAATTCTATACATCACCCAGTCCTGCAAGTATTGAACACATAACACCCTGCAACATTGATACCCGAAAAATGTTTCGAATTAGAACTTTTTCCGTAAACAAATCCCTAGCAGTACGTCTCTGAATGTGAATTATAAAATGAATGTTTCCTATGCTCTTCCAAGAGATTCTTCTATTAAAAGATGGTTATCAGTTATAATGCAGAACTTGTTGAAGCATTTCTCCCAGTTGTAGTACATGTTACATATTAATACAAATTAAGTTGTCTTAGATAGACTATGTTACGGACGTTTTATGTATCTGGATAT